TATCTATCTATCTATCTATCTATCTATCTATCTATCTATCTATCTATGTATCTACTGTATCTATCCATCATCTATCTATCTATCTATCATCTGTCATAAATCCTTCTATTCCTCATCATCATCCAGTCACAGCTGATGAGGAGTGAAACCTCTTTGAAGAAAAAAACAAGAAAATCCAGTTGCCTCCAGCTGAAAAAAACACCTTTGGGATAACGGGAATGACTGGGAATCTCCACAGATTTCCCTATTAATAGAGACAGCCAACTTCATTCTCTTGGCCTGTTTTTGACTTATTACTCAGCTGTTTTGGGGGAAAGTGGCCATCTGGGTCACTTCCTATTCACCCAGATTTAATTAACCAGGTTAGTATGTTTTGAGTCACAGACAGCCACGCTTCCCAGTTTCCTAAATATTTTCCACCTACTCTACAAGGGGATATACTTATTGGTACTTTTAACTATGTTTGTTGGGTTAAGTAACCGTGGTTTGGTTTGGTTTTCCATATCTGGACTCTTCCTGGAGATTTCTGGATTTTCTTTGCTCAGCATTTCTCCAGCTGGTGGGAATCGGAGTCTTTCCCTAGGGGTGGATTAGATGGGATCAAGATGTCCTGACCTGATCTCATATTTGGGTTGCTTTGAAAGGGAATTGAAAGTTTGAAAGGAGGAGAAACAGGCAAAATGTATCCCTTCCTCTCTTGTAAACCGCAATAAAGCACTCAATGGTATGTTGTGTGTCATCCTTCTGACATACCACAACGATTCCATTCTGGTGATGTCACCCTTTGCTTCTGCTGATAAGGCTCACATCATGCTTAATCTGACCCTGAAGCAAAATTCCCCTTCGCATTCTTCTCTCTGCAATTATTAGTATTGTTATTGTTATAATTATTGTTAGTATTGTTATTATTATTTTATTATTGTTGTTGGTATTGTTGTTGTTATTGTTATTGTTGTTGTTATTGTTGTTGTTGTTATTGTTGTTATTTTGCTGCTGCTCTTATTGCTACCCAACCCCAGATGAGTTCTGACAGTGAGGACAATCGACCCATGGAACAGAAGTTGCCTTTGGAAGTTGTGGGAGCGCCATCACTTGAGACTTTCAAGAAGAGATTGGACTGCCACTTGGTGTAGGATCTCCTGCTTGGGTGGTGGGGTCCCTTCCAACTCTGATGATCTGTAATCTGTTATCTGTTAGTTGCAACCAGAGGTGGGATTCTACCGGATCAGACTGGTTCGGGAGAACTGGAGGTCAAATTTATATCTGGTTTGTCAAACCGATAGTTGAACCAATCGGCTGGCCCCGCCCACCCATCCTCACCCCTCCCAGAAGTCCCCACATGGCCCATTTTGGATGCAGGTAAGGGTAGGGCCTGCATAGAGGCTCTGGGAGGGAGAAAAATGGGCCGAACCACAAGTTCTGGAAGTCCAGAAATGGGTATCAGAGCCAGGTTTAGCACAAAACTGCAAACCAATGCATAAGAAGAATTAAAATCAGGCTGTTTGGCTAAATTCTAGAGCAAATTTGTATGAAATTGAGGCCATGATTTGAATTAAATACTTTAATTGTAGTAGCAATTTTTTAATACAATGTGAGTCCTTTGGTGGAGATAAGAGAATAAACTGGGATTTTGTTGTTGTTGTTGAACAGGGTTTGTTTTTTTTAAAGGAAAGAATAGAAGGCAAGGAAAATCTAAGGAGTGTCCAATCTTGGCAACTTTAAGACCTGTGGACTTCAACTCCCAGAATTCCCCAACCAGCCAACATGGGGAATTCTGGGAGTTGAAGCCCACAGGTCTTCAAGTTTCCAGAATTGGACACCTCTTGTCTAGACATGAAATATTGTGTCATCCTACTGGCTTTCAAATGTGCTTTAGTCAAGGGAAGTGTGACCTTGAAAAACCACAGGAAGTCACCAGAAGTAGACATGATGAAGAGAGAGACACCTTAGTCTTCTCATGAATGGGAAAGCTATCAACCATGGGTGTCCAACCTTGGCATCATTAAGACTTGTGGACTTCAACTCCTAGAATTCCTCAGCCAGCTCTTTTTTT